TCTTTTCTCTTCTTTTATGATATGACATAGTGATGTTTTCGTGTATGAGTTTATCACATTACAGCTAGTTACTTTTTAGAAGTTTGTCGTTTATCAGCAGTGTTGGATGAGTTCATTTGCTTTGCTGGTGATATTTATGATCTTTGAACGTGAGAAAATGCTTTTTTACGTTTCCCATGATTTTGAAGTTGAGACTACCTACAGCTCCACTCTGTGTGAGTGTTTCAGTCATTTGTAAGAAAGTCTGTGGGGGATATATATTAAAATTACTTATTTAAGTTACTCCCTTATTTTTCACAGACTGTTATTATAGGGCGTAGATGGTGAAAGCAGAGACCAAAAGGGCTAGTGGCAAAAATAATAGTTATGAACGTGTATTTTACCGTTTCTCAAACATGCCCCATCGATGATCCTGACATCATCTAAAGCAATATCTCCTTTATCACCACTTCCTACAATTCCTTCAAACACTATCTGGAAGGAAGTCTTTGTTTCAACTGACAGTTTTCCAATTCGCCAAACGTTTCCTTGATCGTTTCTATTTGCCCACGCGGGTGCACCAACGGTACCTTCTGTATTGACTAAGTACACATTCAATGTGGCCCCGTACATGTGGTAAAACCACATGACGCATGTGCCGTTTGTTGCGGGATATGACGATGTCCAAAGACGTGCAGTTTCATTGTTGTATCGCGGATATGAAGTTTCGATATACATGTAGGAACCTGTAGGCAAATGATAAAATAAATGTTATGGTTTAAGAGATATTGTTGTTTATCTCTTTTTAGTATATTTTATTTATTTTGTTTGTAATTTTAGAAATATTTTTATCAAGAATTTACAATTTTCATTTAGAAAATATAAATTCATGTCAGCTTTTTAATACCTTGTAATGTTTCGTAGGTGTGGTCATACTTAGGGCCAGTACCAGATGTGGGTGTTGATCCAGATGTTCTTATCCAATCAAAATCATCATATTCATCTTGTTCAAAGTAACAGATGTATGTATCCTCGAAATCACATTTGGTTTGCGCTTCAGAAAGAAAAAAAAGTAACTGCAGTTACGTAGTCTTTATTAGTAAAAAACTTTTATACTTCAATATACCAATAATTTTTGGCAATGTGTTTAATCATATTCTTATTTTATACCTAAAGAATTCGGAATGAAATTTTCAAATAATTAGAAAAAACATGAACTTTACAATTTTACTTGTATAAAGTCGAACTGGCCTTCAAAATACTTACATATGTTAATGGTAAACTACACAAAATTTGTTTTCACATTTTCAATAATATATTATATAATATTTGCTTCTTTAACATTAGGTGTAATTTTTTAAATCTGGGTCCAACAGCTTAGCAATTACATTAATTTTGTTTATAAGTGATATCTTAGTTAAAATCAAGTATTCTTTTTTGGGGGTCAAATCGCAATACACAAACTAAGAATTCGAATGTGTGAAAAAAGGCCCCGCGGCTTCCAGCGTCCGGGGTCCTAGGGCCTAAATGGCTACCCAGAGGGGCCTTCGGCCTGTACCTTATGCCACGTAGTGGCAATAACAGTATCTTGTATGGTAACAGCAATCAAGTAGGGCAAATCATTTCCTATAAGAGAATGATTTCCAATATATTGCAATAGGCTATAGAAGCCTTCGTTATATTCTATAATCTGGATGGTAAATCCATATCAGCACCATATTTGTGGAGGACCTTCAGTACTACAACTATTGAACTATAATAAAAGTAAACATATTAAACATACAGTAATAAACATTTTTTATAATTTGTATTTCCTTTTTTTTTTCCAAAAGAACATTTCACTATACGTGTGTACAGGATCAGAAGATGGGAAGTTCACACGGGACGACTACAGTAGTTGAGATATAAATTTTTTATAATAAATTTTATTGAAAGAATATCAAATTTTCCTGAAACAATTCTTGACATAAGAATCAAAATGTTTAGATGAAAGTTAAAGATGATGCTGTATTTTTTAAAATCGAATGTGCCATTGAATGAAGACTGCAAGCATTTAAAGTTTAGGTATAACAATTTGTTTTTAAAGTTCTCTGCTTTGTGGTTTAGGGTACTATTAAAATTCCTTTAAAGAGGTACACTGGTAAATTTAAAAATTCATATGGCCTCGTTAGGCAGACAAATCAAGTACTTTTGCTAAATATTAAGTGAACACTTGGCGTGCCGTGTGTTCATTTAATGGTTAGCAAAATTGGCATGGGTTTTTTCGTTATATATTTATATAAATTTTTATATAATATATATTTTTTATATAATACATATTTTATATAATATATAATATTATATATAATATATACTTTTTATATAATATATAATATATTATATAATATATGATTTTTTATATAATATATGATTTTTTATATAATATAGAATTTTTATATAATATTTTATATAATATATATTATTTTATATAATATATAATTTTTTATATAATATAAAATATTATATATTATATAAATTATTATTTATTATATAAAATATTATATAAATATATAACGTAAAAAACCACGTCAATTTTTGCTAAATAATTAGTGAACACATGGCGCCTCATACTCTACTGCAATAAAACAATAAATGCAACTTTAATAACAGTTATTCTACACAATATTATCTTCATGTACCATATCTTAGACTGCTTAGAAGGGATCTCTACTGCAAGAAACACACTTGTCCATTAACAGCTCGTAACAAGTGCGTCTGTAGATGTGTATAAGAGA